ACGAGCAATAAGCGAGGCTCCAAAAAGGGACCCAAAAGGACCAACACATGACACGTGTAAGTGTCCGAGATGGACCCAAGTTGGAGTCCGAAGTGGAGTTCAAGATGGACCTGAGATGGAGTCTGAGATGGACCCGAGTTGGAGTCCGAAGTGGAGTCTGAAGTGGAGTCTGAGATGGACCCGAGATGGAGTCCAAGATGGACCTGAGATGGAGTGTAAGACGGACCCAAGATGGAGTTCGAGATGGACCCGAGATGGAGTCCGAGATGGATCCGAGATGGACTCGAGATGGAGTCCGAGATGGACCCGAGATGGAGTCCGAGATGGATCCGAGATGGACCCGAGAAGGAGTCCGAGATGGACCCGAGATGGAGTCCGAGATGGAATCCGAGACGGACTCAAGATGGATCCGAGATGGAGTCCAAGGTGGAACCGGAACCAAGACTGAGACCGAGACCGAGACCAAGACCGAGACCGAGTCCGAGTCCGAGTTCGAGCTCGAGTCCGAGTCCGAATACTAATACGGGTAGTTGGGTGAAAGCCCAAAGCAATCGTCCCCCAAGGGGGGGTGGGGGGGCTGCGGGGGGTTCCAAAAGTATAGTAGGGAGAGTGTGGGGGTTGGAGCCTAGTGGAGCCAGTTTGTCCAAGAAAGGCCATTTGGCTCAGGAAGGCCATACCCAATGTTGAGTGATGAGCTGACCATTGGGAAGTCCAAGACTAGAGTGAATATAGATCGACAAGCGGGGTAGCTTGGTGAAGTGTTCAAGAGCCGACTCTAGTTCCCCCAGGTCAATGCTCTCAGTCCAAATGTGGGTGGCACTACCTACTTGGATACCAGGCGTGGCTCAACGGAACCTCGCTCTAAGCCCATGGCTAGAGCACCCAAAGGCGGAAGGCGGGGAGAGTACCTAGGAGGCCTGCATAGGGCCACGGTGTTCCGAAATGGTGTCCCAAAGTCCCAGACTGTGGAAAGGAAGAGGAGTAGCCCTCTGGTGTGGTGACCAAGGACATAGTCACATGGTGAAGAAGTCCCAGAGGACCACGGGACTTAATGGTCGGGCCTGTGAGCCTTGCCCCAATGGCAGTGTTGGCGAGCACAGCCATGAACAGAAAGGGACTTAGTGAGGACCGGAAAGGAGATACTGGGGAAGGCTATTCCCCATATCTGTGGGCATCCTAAGGATGTTAAGGAGTGGATTTGGGCTGACCACTCATGGACGGATGGCCCAGTCTTGGAGAGACAGGATTACAATACAGATGGTGTTGGACCATTGATGTGACCAAGGTGAATAGGCATGGCCTAGCATAACGGGCTGATATGTTGGTGGTACCTTGGGGTGTCGATCTTGGGATCGGACACGTGGAGCACTTGGACCAAGTGCAAAGGTTGAGTGGCATGAATGCCATTCTCGGGGCAAGCAAGCCCCAAGTCCTGAATTGAACTTATGGAGGTTGTGAATGAGACTCCTCCAAGTGGTCAGAGGTATGGCTAAGTGACTAAAGTAGAATGGAAAAATTAATCGCTTACACCAGCCAAGTATTATTCAAATCCAATGACACTTAACCCCAAATATCCCAAGACCTTTAACCGATTAAAAAAGGGGGTGCATTTTTGTTCATGGGCCCTTTCCTTTTATATTTGAACCCCTATAGATCGTTTTTTGAGTCGTTCCCTTTGGTTGCTTACAGATTTCAGTAATGCTCACAATGGTGCAGTATGATCAGAAAGATGATCCACAAATGACTGAGATACTACATCTTTCCTAGGAAGTGCTACACATTAGTCACACACTTCAAAGTAGGGAATTTTAGAACAGCCACAAATTTGTTAGGATCAACTTGCAAACCCTCACGAGAAATACGGTACCCAAGATAAATCGTGTCCTTGGGCATAAATATGCACTTTGACTGCTTCAGCTTTAAGCCAATGCCCTTGTAACCAATCCAACACTTTACAAACATCACGAATGTGCTCTTTTCACGTCCCCTCCGAGTGAATTAGGACATCATTAATGAAGTCAACAGTCACCTCTGGCATATCGCAAAGAACCTCGTCTATCATCCGCTGGAAAGTTGCTGGAGCATTGTGCAAACCAAATAGCATCACCAAAAACTTGTACAAACCAAATAGTGTACAAGAAGTAGTCTTAGGAATGTGTTTTTCAGCCATCAGTACTTGCCAGTACCCATAAGCAAGATCTAGCTTGGTGAACTAACAACTTCACCCCAAATGATCCAAGAGATCAACAGTGTGAGGAAGAGGGTATACATTTGGGATTGTCACTTCATTTAATGGATGATAGTTGATGCAGAAACAAATACTCCCATCAGGCTTCGTCATAAGATGAGGTTCACATGCCCAAGGACTTTGCGACTTTTGAATAACACCCTTCTCTTTTACGTTTGTATGTAAAATCTTGATCTATTTGGGTGACTGACGACGAACAAGAACCTTGATTGGACGCGCATCCCCGATTAGAATAGGATGACGTGTGGCAATTTTGGCCCCAGATGATAGGTCAAATTCAAAAAGATCAAAATACTCCTTTATGAACCAATCAACCATTGAAACACAAAGATTGTCAAAGGGATTGGAAAAGGGAAGAGTAGAACAAGATGGAGACATAGAAGGAAGGAGTAGGAGGACAAAAGTAATAGAAGCAGAGATAGAAATAGAGGGACGAAGAGGTTCGAAAGTGAGAGGAGTGGATGAAATATAAGGAAGTATGAAACAAAGGGGAAAAGCCTTAAAGTCACACTTGGCATGATTGCGTTGCAACCAATCCATACCAAGGATGAGGTCAAAAGCTTGACTTAGCACCACTTGCAATAATTGCAACCCAACTCAAGATCACACACACGCATAACTAAATTTGCCTCATCCCGTGCACATGCATGTGTATAGCTATTGCCATAAAGAATGAAAACTAGCTTCACTGCACGACGCAAGTGTAGATAACAACATGTGGCAACGGGTCGAGCAATAAAAGATAAACTTGAACTTGTATCAACCAACACGGAGAGAATAATAGAAGATTGGTTATTAATAAAATGAGCTTGGAAAGGAAACATTAGATGAACTAGTGCCAAGTGAACCCCTTGATGATACTCCCGAAAGATAGATGAAGGGGTCACTGACTTATTTGTGCAAGGTCCCTCCGTTACTCGCCCGACTCCTTGTTTCCCGGATGCATCTCAATGTCTAGACCTTCCACTACAACAGCACCAACAAGACGTTGTTGATGCCAAGGTCTCCACCCAGGAAATGGTGGCTGCCAATCTAGAAAATGCCGACAATGCCAATAAGTGTGACCAACTTCATCACACGCCCAGCAACGAACATCACGGCCATGATCACGGCCTTGCCCTTGTCCTTGGACTCGAACAACAGCATCATCAACCTTCATTAAAATAAGACCATCACCCATAGGAAGTGGAGTTGAAAGACGAGCAACGAGAAGTAGAAAAGGTGACATCTCATAACATTATGCTAAGCTCTAGACATGCACTGAGAAATATTGTATAATTCCTATTGATCAATAGGAATTGCATAATGTTTTAACCCATCACTACTTTGTTGATTAAATTGTTTTGATCCTTTGCCTAAAGAGTGCTCTTCAATAACTATTGTGAGCATCAAATAAAGAACTAAAAAATAAAGGCTAAATTCTAGATGCAATTGTTGATTTTTCTATCATATTTTTCCATTGGTTAAAGGAGGAGTTAAAAACACTCTTACCTTAAAATCAATTAGGGAAAAGTAATGTTAAATATAAATTAATATTAAATTAAAGAAAATATATATGCGTGTGTGTGTGTAAATTAACATTCTTTTTCCATAAAAGTGGTTATGGGCAAACATCAATAGTTACAATGGAAGGTTTTGTTCTTTATTAGAAAAAAATCTAGAACAAATGTTTTTGGATATGCCTAAACACATATATTATATCAAGAAAAGCTTAAACAATTCAGAGCTTTAAGTGAAAAAATAAAGTGCAAAATATGAATCGTGATCACATAGGAAGGAGCTAAACTATTTGGGCATTCCTAAAAGATAAATATTTTTTTAATTTATTTTTTTAATTTATATTAATTTCTTTAATTTTTCTACATATAATTATTGATTTAGCTGCACAAATAATGGACTATCATTGATTGCATTATATTCTGAACCAGGAATATACCTGGATTAAATAATTCTCGAATTTATTCAAATTTTATTTAAAATGTCACATACAGCTCTATAATCTCTATATTGCTTTAGTTTTTTATTCTGAAGATAAAAACATATATACATATAATAATTTTTAATAATATAATCTCTATAAATAGAAAATCTGATTTAATATAAATAATGGAGTAAAATTATTGATTTTTAGAAATCATAGAATTGCTATCATATATTGCTTTTGTTTTTTATTCTGAAAATAACCATAAAATATTGTGAAGCTGGTTTCTGCAAAGGAATTATCAATTTAGAATAAATCTAACAATAAAAAAACTCTAATTTTGACTATACTAACCACGCGCAAACTAAAATTGGTAGTTCTCATAATTTAAGATTATCTAGCTCAGCAATAATCTGTGCTTCTTCCAGCTTTAACTTTCGACAACACCGGGAACATGATCCAGGATGGTAGCAGCAAAGTCGCAGGGCCATTCAGCTACGGCACAGGCATTCTGAGCCACTCTGTTTCATGCAAGAATCACTTTATTCCATGACCGGGCTAGCATCTTGGAAGTGCCAGCCCCTCAGGCATTTGCCTTTGTTCTTTGCCTATCACCTTCTTCACAAAAATGAACGCCTCTAAGTGACATCGATTACATTCGCAGCTGTACAACTGCAATGTCCGAGACATTGAATTTGGCTATCTTTGAGCAACTGAGATGGTTTGGAAGATGCTGGAACTGTGTATCAGGCTGCTGAGTTTCCAGGTGAGCCTCTCTCGTCATTTGATCCAGGCAAAATTCTTATCAGTCTTATATCTTTCATCCAGGGATTGCCTAGCTCAAAGTAGCGAATATGCTGGCTATATTCCTAGAAAGTATTTGAAAACTTGGGCGGGAGAGTTTTTAGGACAAAATCGGTGAGCCTAGCATATTTCGCATGAAAATTTCAGCCGAGAGCATCGCCGAGGGCGGCGAGGAACACCTCCTGGTAGATCCGCCTCACTTCTCCCAATCCATCGTCGTAGGCGCAAAACCCCACAGCCAGTAGGGCTCTCGCGACGCTCGCCCCCACGAGGTCGCTCACGGCTGCCGAATTCGAGCTGCGCAGCACAGATTCGTCCAGCCCACAGGCATGGAAGCACGCCGCGAGCAGGGAGGTGTTCGTCAGCTTGTAAGCGCCGTTTACTCCGCCGTGGTGATTGTCATCTAGCTTGACGAGCTCCATCGCCAGGCACAGGTTGAGGCACGCTGCTCCAACGACGCTCAAGTGATGGTGGCTCGATCCTTTCACTCCCGGAAAGTTTCCAGCGTCGAGAAATGCCGCTGTGAGCATCTTGTCTAGAGACATGCCAGTCCTCATCCCGGGCTTGAGGTAACCTTCCTCGGGTGGATAGTCCAAAAGGCGACGAACTGTTGGAAGGTACGTCTCTCGCCACGCGCTGATCTTCTCTGAGTTAAAAACCTCGTCTGGCAGCTCCATCGTCCACGCCTCGTCTTTGATCTCGTCCAGCGATGATAAGACTTGGAAAGCTTGCTCCAGGAGGTATTTCCGGTTGTCCAGAGGTGGTGGTCTCGGAGTAGCAGCGACAAAAGCTGGAGAGTAAGAACTTGGAGCGACGACAATGGTGGTGGATCTCGAGTCTGCTGGACGTTCGGAAATTCTTGAATCTCTCTCCAGCTGATCTTCCTCCGTTTCAGGAACATCCGGTAGCACAAACGGTTCCATCTCTGCGACTGCTTCACCACCATGTAAGTTCTTCTCAGCGTCAGCTTTAGATGGATCCACAATCACCCCGGTCTTTAGAAACGTCTCGTCCTCGCTATAGAGCCGCATGTTGTGCTTGATGAGCATGTTGTCCACCTCCATGACGTCGAACTTAGAGAATGCCAGCATGCTCAGATGCCTCTCCATGCCTGGAATCAAGTCCCGGTGGTGGAAAAGCAGACCCTCCGCTATGATCCTCGCGAACTCGGTCCCAAACTCTGTGTTCCTCTTCTTCCTTTGCCCCTCGTCGACATAGGCTAGTTCCTGCCTCTCCCTGTTCCAGTAGAGCATCCTCTCCGAGACCGCGTGACGTGTAGTGTCTCCAACGCGAAGAGTCCAGTGAACTTTCAGGCCCGTTTCGAGTTCCACCTCCTTTAGACGCAGCAGTTCCTGCACTATGGTTTGTCGCTCCTTGACGGAGAGTGATAGAGCCAGATACCCGAGTATTGCTCTAAACAGTCCCAGGTGGATGTATCCTTCGTCCCAGACCAGTTTCCTTCCGAGTGAGAGGCTCATGCAGCTCGTGTCCGTCTCCGATTCAGCACATTCGGAGATTGTCTTGACCCCCAGCCAGGAATAGACTTCATATAGCTCCTGCGTGTTGATCTCCTGGCTGGCTGGATACCACGCCACCCACGGACGAGGATTAGTGTTTCTAAAGAGATGTTCCAGCTCTAGCTGATCAACCATGACCGTCTTTGCAGGCGGAAGAAGCTTCACGGTGGCTGCGTTCTTTTCGCAGGCTGGTATTGAAGGAACGCAGCTGCTCGCGCGGAAAACTTTCAGATACGGCGTCGAAGTTGGTCGTGACGAGACTAGCTTCGCCTCCACCAGCTCACGCCACACTGTGTAAGCCTTTTGTACCTCGACATCTTTTCCTTTAGACGACCACCTCTGCCAGAGCTCGCAGAACTTGATGATCGAAGGCTTCTCACAAACATCAAACCTCTTCTGAAGGATGTCTTGCATGACCCGCTCGTAGCAGCTATCCAGAGGTACAACACCGAGTTCTTCAAACAAGCCCTCAACGTCGTGAATGACGCATTCTTCCTTTTTCTTCCAGGTTGCTGCACGGCCTTCGCTCTGCGGCACCCAGATCACGTCAACGTCCCTCCATAATTCTTGTTCAGCGCAGCGGGAGAGGTACTGATAAAATCTGACCACTTTAGCCGTGTCGACTTGCCGAGCAGGAAGCTTCTGCATATTGCCGAGACAGCGGAGGACAGTTGCATATCCCATGCCGGGCTCGCAAGCCACTCCCAGGCTTCGGAACTCGTTCTTATACTCCTCCAATGGCATCCAGTCCTTGTCCACGAACGGAACGTCCTCGACTTTCAAGACTTTAAGCAGCTCAGGCACCGGCAGGAATGCAACGGTTGGGCAGCAGTATCCGTGGCTCGTCTTCAACCACTTGGTAGTCTTAATACTGGAAGTGAAAGCGGGTGCATTGCAGTGCCTGGATTTAATCCACTTCAGTAACAACGAGCTCGCTGCGACGTTACCAACATAATGCGGAGGAAGGGCCTCGTCCACCGGATCAAAGGCGGGGATGTCCGTAGCCAGGAACTGCTCCTTCAGAAAATTCACAAACTCGGTTCGCACGTCGGAGTCGGAGAGATCGATCGTTGCTGACTCCATATACTCTTCTGACAATTTTCGAACGCCGCGTCTCCACGCGTCAGACGGGAGCAAGAGCGGCCACTTCGCTCCACAAGCCGCCGGTAGCAACAATGGACGCGTTGAAACATAACTCGCAACATAGGGACTCACGGCTCCGTCATTCTCGACGATTGGTTCATTACGCTTTTGGTTGCTGATGGATGTGTACGAGCTGCGGTCGTTTCTGTACAGGTCGAACAGGAAGTGCATCGCTAGAACAGCAAGCTTTGCATTTGAGGAGTTCGCAGTGACTGCTCCAAGAACCTGACGAGCGAGTGAGCATGCTGTCAGTTCGCTCACGCTGAAGGGGGTTCTCTCCAACCAGTTCTCTAACACCGAGTGCTGCCGGATTTTTGCAGCGCAGGCCGATGGAACGAAGTTGAAAGTTAGCCAACGTTGAAACACCTCTGTCCAACCAGCGAGCCAAGCGGTAGCTCTGTGACCAGAATCCCAGTACATGGATCTGCCATCGTTTCGCGCGAGATCATCCATGCTTGCCAACTGGAGTCGACCATCGGAGCCTCGATACTTGAGAAACCTGAGGGATCTCAAAGTTGACGACTTGGAGGACAGGAACACCAGCAGCTTGACATATGCATCGTCGGGGAGCGATCTCATCCAGTCTTCAGAGTCGAGGCTTTGGTGATATTCATCGTTGCTCATATCTGGGACTCCCAGGAGTCTCAGCACCGAGCCGTAGTTCTCCTGCAGCGTGCTGTCCACTATGTACGAGGAACTTCGTCGCAAGAACCAGGGACTTCCTCGCAAGAACCTGGGACACTTCGGTGCGGCTTTGAGGAGCTCTCGGAAGCTGGGGGCGATTTTTCTCGCAAGAGCAGGCTTGCAAAGCTGCCCGCTCGGTGGTGCACGGCCGACGTCCGAGGCGCAAAGAATGACGTTGTTGTCCTTCAGCTTGGACAAGATATCGTTGCGGACTCTCTCGAGGTACGAGTTGCGGCAAGCAGTCACAGGTACGTACTTGTACATTGCCATGCGTGCTACTGACGGTATACTCTGCAGTCCAAACGCCGTGGTGTTGAGGAGAAGCTCGAAGGCGTTGTAGAAAACCTCGGGAACACAGCGAAAGATCCCCTGGTTCCAGGGGCTGTCAAAGAGGAGCGTCTCACGGGAGGAAACGAGCAAAAAGTCCGAGTTGATAAGAAACGGCAGGCCCGAGTGGATATCGGAAGGCAGGAACGAGAAGATATCGCCAATGCTGCAGCTGCTCGAGATACGATCATCCACCGGAAAGGCTAGAGTGATCGTCCAGCTATCGACATCTTTTCGCTTTTCAACCTTGGCCTCCTCAGGTACTTTCAAAGTCTGCTTAAACATGTAGTAGTTGCTGTGCTGAGTGCCATTCCGTCCGTTACTAGCTGTCAGAAAAGTTGTGCTCGTTTCCACGCTTCCATTCTTTGACGTTGTCATCTCCACAGATCTGGAGAGAACCAGTTCCGTGGGAGGCCGCGACTGCTGATCGTAGATGGAGAGCATGCGTATCTTCGATAAGAAGAGGAGCGTCTCCGCTGGGATTTGAGTAAGCTGTTTTGCCACCTCCGAAATCTTTTCCTGACGCAAGGGAAGGATGATCACCGTTGCAGGAAGCTCGGTCTTGCTACAGACCTTCTGCAGCACAGCGTCTGTAGGACGGTCGACCCATTCCGGGACAATATACCCGAGCTTGGCCTCGTTGTGGGGCTCTTCGTCGAAACGAATACGAAAGCCATTGGTGATTATATACGGCTGCTTGGTGACGAGAAAAACGCTCTTAAACCCAATTCCTGTACGAGCAAGAGACGTTACCACGGCTAGAGAGGGAGAGGTAAGAAAGAATTATCTCACCTTTCTCGCCAATGTATCCTTGAGATTTCTTTCCTTTCTTTGTGGACTGACCAGCGCCGCACAAGGACTCTATATTCTTTTCCGAGAAACCAACTTCGTTGTTCAAGAGCAGCAGCGTGGCAGCTGCTCCAGTGCCAGTGACGTCGGTCTTTGTGAGATAGATTTCGATGCTCGGCTCCACGGACGAATGGTAAGTGTTGTCCTCAGCGTTCTATGACGCTCATGTTTGTCAGGTACAGAACCAAGTTCGAGCAAAGTACCTGGAGGAGTTCGGACAGGAAATGGATGTCCTTCTGGTAGAGCTCGGCCGAGAGGAGCCTGATCGTCTCCTGGAGCATGAGAGCGAGAGGATTGGGACCGGACTGGCCGATTCCAAAGCGGTCGCGACGCAGGTGCTCGATAAACATTCGCTGGGACGACATTTCTCTGTGCAGAAATCTGTCTCCTACGTTCTCTCCCTTATATGAAGCAAGAATAGGAAGGCTTATTAAAAAGTTCGATTTTGCTTAAGATTCGATACCTAGCCAAAATAGTCTTGGAGGTCCAAAACGTCCGCTAACACACCAGCGGCTGTAGTATCATTGCCTGCCCCGGCTCCCTTAATAACAAGAGGCGATGTCGAATAACAGCGCGTGAAAATCTCGACCTGCAAGAACAAAGTTTCAGGAAACGCACAAGCTCTATACAATTACCAGATTATCGCTTCCATGCAGCTGACCGAGAGCGGACTGCTGAGGCTGCTCTACAATTCCCACTTTGCAACTGTAAGCAAAGGACAGGTTTTTGGTAAGCTCAGGCGGATTGACTTACTGAAAGTTTTCGATCGTCGCCACATATCGTAGAACACAACCCCTAGCAGCTGCTTCTTTCACACGGTTTCTCATTGGCAAGTCGAGTTCGGGTAGTCCTTTTAGAAATTGCATGGTGCTCATCAGTTTGGGAGCCAGACTTGGCGGATATAAGCACTCAACCTTTAAGCAGCACGTCACTAAGAGGAATCCAACCAAAGAAAGTGAGTACCTCCACATCCTCTAAGTTTATTCTCCATCCCATTAGTCGAGCCATTATAAGCGCCTGAAAAATGAAAGAAGTCATGTTGCATTCACGAGATAGTAGCAAGTGATTTCACCTTCCTTGCTACGTCCATACCGCCAAGATCATCACGAGGGTCTGAAAGCGTAAGAATAAACTACACGAAAAATAGAAAAGAAAGATAGCTACCTGGCTCGGTGTAACCAAGCTCTTTCGCTTGTCTCACAATATCACTAAACGATTCACCATACTCCAACCGACTCATTACAAAGCCGAGAGTGCCTGACAAAGGACGTTAGAAGTGGCAAATTTTTTATGGGAATGAAAGGACAAACCACTGAGAGCACCAACAATTTTCCTGATCGAATCTCCGGAATTTAGCAGACGGTTCAAAGTTGCTATGACTGGCAGAGCAGCACCGACCTGCTTGAGAAATGTTTGTAAAATGTACGTACAAATACTTCTTGCTTAACTGTTGATTCACAGCGATAACGTCGATTCAGTGCTGCAATCCTATCGTAAACGTTCTGCAGCCATGGGTCAAGGAAAAAAGAAGAAACAAAAAAAGAACGATCTTACAAACGAGCTGGTGAGAGGCTTCTTGTTCGCAAGAACAATGCAGCAATTCAAGTCCGCGATCTCTGCAAGTGCTTGTCCAATTTTTTCGCTTGCGGTACAGTCAGCTACAACCAAAGGACGACCTGTAGGATAAACAAGAAAAAAAGGTGCATGATCATCCATCAAAAAAGTTGAAAGGAAAGTTTTACCAGTTTCTTCTGTGATGGTTCTTATCGCAGCTGCTAGAGTTGCATCAAAATATTCCTTGCGAACGGCTCGCGCATTCAATCCAGCTGAGCTTTCATCGTTTAAAGAAAAGGAAAATAAAAACAGACATGTACCGGGCATTTGATTGTTCTTTTCCTTCGCAAGAGAAATTTGCAGAAGAGCAGTGTCGTCCAGTTCTTCGTTTTTCTCACCCAAAACGATGGATTTGGAATCCACTACAGCCATCACAGCGACTCGCAAACCCTGAGCATTTGATTCAAAGAGAGAAATCTTGGGCGATAGGCGAATAGATACCTGATCTTCGTGTAGTTTACGAGTGGAGACAATGTGGCGGAGGAGCTGGCGCCCGACGCCCCCGCATCCTAGAAGCGTCAGCTGGATTTTCCTCGCCATGGCCAAGAACCCTAAGAAATTCCCAAATTTGAAAATATTGGGGGGAAGATTTAGGGCTTTCGAGCAATCGATAGGGTTCCTTGCGTCGATCTCGCCAGGCGAGGTAAGAATCGCGTTGGAAAAATCGCAGCTTGTCGATTTTTTTCCAATGTGGGGTAAGATTGAGTCTATGGCGCGGTATGTTTCTTAAGAATCCAAATAGCTCGTGTTTATCTGCGAGGTTCTTGCATGTTTTATCCAAAGCGACAAGTCGAATGAATTCCACTAGTCCTTTATGCGATCACTATGTCCTTGCCACTTTTTTTTTTCCTGCTACTTCATTTCTTCTTCTTATTCGCCTTCTGTTCTGTACTAACAATTTTTTTTTCAGGTACTTGTATTCCTCAACACGGGATAACTTGGCGATTTAGGCAAGCTTCTCCCAGATCCAAGATATTCGATCTAAAACCACGCAAAACGTAGATTAAGGATTGTTTCTACAAGGTATGGTCGAGTCAAATCTCTTTAGTGTCGATCACTCTCGCTTGCAGCTAACCATTGTTTTGTTGCAGGTTTTGGTCCCTCCTCCTGCCACCAGTACCGTCATCTTTTCAGAGATGAAAACCGTGCGTGGACAAGACCTCTTGAATGTTTCTGCATGAATCGCATCATGGACAATCTGTGAAGGTATTGTTTTATTCTGATACGTAAATCCCACTTTGTTTGATGTAACAGGAAGCCCGTTCTTCGCGATATAGAAAGCCATGGCCTTTTAGCACTGGCGGAAAGCCCCCCTCTAGAAATTTCTCTGAGCAGCATCACAAAAATATCCTCCGACAAGATAAATATTTCAGGGCCTTACAGTGAAGAATTCGGACAAGCGTCGGTGAGTTCTTTTTCCTGTTCTGGCTTTGTTGATATGCAGAGAAGTTTTGAAAGAGTGTTAAAAAAACTAACAGTATTTTTCTTGTTATATTGCAGTGGCTTAAAATTTGGGACGTTAAATGCTCGGATCCAACACATTGCTCGGACTAGCAGCTTTAAAGCATCAAACATTGACATTTTCCAGACTGTCGACTTTAATGGACCTTGCTTTCGGGCTTGTCGAACTGTAACATCTGCTCTGGAGAAGAAGAACAAGAAAAGGACCCGAGGTATTAAATGACTCCACTTCAAAGCTCTAAGAGGGATCCGATTGAATCCGTCCTTTGCTTGTATCCCTTTCCGTTTATCTAAACATCGCTGATCCACTGTAATTGCAGGAGGCTGAAAGCGCAAGCATCTCGTCTTCTTACCCAGCTAAAAGAATCGGCTCCAGATTCAAGAGTAAGATTATTTTACACTGGCCTCTGGAAATGGACGCATGACTTGTGGAGGTTTGATTTCTAGGTGCTGAATCCAGACAGCTGTATGCAACTGACGGCCGGCGTCACATTGATACGAAGTCTATTCCCAATCCGACCAGGTACGGAAGACTTCTCAGCGAAATAATGCGTGGTCTGTACGAGGCCGGTCAAATGAGCTTTGGTGCTAAACTCGTTTGGCGATGGACGGACCACGCCGCATGTCAACGACGAACTTTGTTCCTTCCCATGAACGTGTTCTTCGCTCAGCTATCGTCACAGTAAGAGGCCGAGCACTCTCGGAAAAAAGTCTACTTTTCTCGGTAAAACAAACAGACATTCTCGATCTTACACTCTATGCTAGAACTGACATGCCACAAACGCAAACAGGAACACTACTGCTATCTACGGATTGAAGAGCTTGTTTCCGCATTGGCACCTCCATCCTTTGGGCTTGTAATTGGAGTAAAGAGCAGCCGCCTCACGTTCATCTTTCGCCGGAGAAACTCGCTTGGCCTCCTCATCCTTGGGATCGGGGGTGGGAACCTGGACTGCTTGGCAAGGGAGGCATCGGTTGCACTTATTCTGGCAGCTCGGTGGCCTGGAGCCTATACCCGTTATAACAGTGTCCGGAGCTTCTTGTACCGCTTGAACTGCCTGGCATGGAGTGCAAGAGTCGCACTTGTTGAGACAACTCGGAGGCTTGGATCCCGGTGCTGTGGCAATCACCCTTGCCAGGCTTTGATTGTCGTGGCGACGAGGGTCATCCTTTCTTCCTGCACAGCACGAACGACAACAATGGCATCAGCTGGCATATTGAGACAAAGGGACATGAATAGCGAATTATTACCCCGGGGGAAAGGACTCGGAGTTGTGAGACTAGCGAGCTGGAGGAGGAGGAGTGAGATCAGCAGCCAGCAGGAGAATTTGTTGGAGACAACCATGCTACCGGCATTGGCAAGGCTTGTGACTCTAGAGACAAACAGCAGCAGCAGCAGCAGCAGCAGCATCCTATAAGACCGAAAACAACATATCTTTGGTGGCGCTGACAGCAGAGTTCTATGGAAAGATTCTTCTCCAGTGGACCAAGTTTTGAGGACACTCGTAGCTATGCTGCTCCAGCTCCTGGCTACTGCGGCTGGAAGCCAAAATTCATCGTCCTATATATCGTGCCGCGGTCTGTAATACGCGAGGGAGGTTACAGGGTTGGCATCACAATCACAGCAGCGTTCTCCTTTGCCTGCAATCTGGAGAGATTCCTGAGGGCCCGTTAATCCAGCACGCAACTGAAGGACGAAAGGAATGGGTGGCTCTTCTGGTAAAAGTCCTTGGGCCGCTAGTACCGAAACGAGAGCAAAGTTAAAAGAGCATCACCAGAGCTTGCAGACGTCGACACCTCCACTGTGTTCTTCACATGCTGCGTTATGCAACATATCATCAGCGGAGTCGCGCACCGAGCTTAAGTCAGTTAAGTGAGCTTTCTCTCTTCTACTTCTCCTAGTATTCCCCACGACTGATTGATTTGACACTGGTGAAGGCAGGCAGGCTTTCTTTTCTTTTCTGGAGCTGGAGCTCTCTGCTGCTGCTGCTCCTGCCGCTGTGGTGCTGATAGCTATTTATGTGGAGCAACTTTTGCTGCCCGGTCTATGCATGTGGATGGCGGAGTAGCCTTTGCGAGTGTCGACAAAAGAGGCGTACTTGGCGTACGATGGCTTACCTCTTCGGGCATGGTGAAGCCGTTTGTCTACCGTGCGAAGTGCTATGCCCGGCTCGGGCCTATCAGTCAAGCCAAGCTGGGTGTTAGCGAATAGCGATAGCGGCACAGATAGACAGGTGGATACGAAGCAAGGTGGGAGTTAGCACTGACGGACAGATAGTTACAGAGATAAATGGGATCGTCATTTTCCAGCAGGAGGAGCAGCAGCAGGCGAGAGATATGGTAGTGATATTTCCGGATGGCACAGAGGCTGGACAGGGACAAGTTTGCGAAGCTGGTGCGAGCTTGCAGCGACGCGAAAGACCTCGCAAGAGGCAAGCGCGTCCATGCGCATATCTTGGACAGCGGCGGGGGTGGCGTAGTACAGGATGGTTTCCTCGCCAACTTGCTCGTGCAAATGTACGGGAAATGCGGGTGCCCAGATGACGCACAGCGGGTGTTCGAGGAGATAAATCCCAAGAACGCGTACTCGTGGTCTTGCATGATGACGGCCTTGGCAAGCAACGGGTATCTCGGTGACGCCAGGGTAATGTTTGAGAGCATGCCGCAACGGAACGTCTCGGCGTGGAACAACATCCTTGCAGCGCACGCACAGAAGGGGTACTTGGTCGAGGCCAGGGGATTTATGGACAGGATGCCCGAGTGGAACGTGGTGACGCTCAGCTTTATGGTGAACGCGTATGCCCAGAACGGTCATCTTTCGGAGGCCGAGAGAGCTTTCGCCATGATGCACGAACCGGACGTGGTGGCACGCACGAAGATGGTAATGGCGTATGGTCAGGCTGGCCGGGTGGCCGATGCCAAGGCTGTTTTTGACAGGGCCGGGGCGAGGGATGTTATCGCGTGGAACGCGATGCTTTCGGCCTACGTTGAGAACGGGCTCTTGCGAGAGGCGAGAGCTTTGTTCGACTTTATGCCTGGACGGACGGTGGTGTCGTGGACGGCAATGGTTGAGGCCTGTTACCGCGGTGGGAGGTTTGAGGAAGCCCAGGAGCTCTTTGGTGGCATGCCCGAGCTGAGCGAGGTCTCTCTCACTGTTATGATCGAGGCTTACGCTCAAAACGGCCAGCTGCAGCGAGCCAGAGGCATTTTCGAGGCCAAGGCCGACTCTCGTAACGTCGTCTCTTGGACTGCGATGCTGACGGCCTATGCGGACAATGAAGACTTTGACAGCGCGAGGATGGTGTTCGAGGTAATGCCGCAGCGGAGCATCATCTCCTGGAACTGCATGATCAGGGCGCTCGTTCACCACAGCGGGAACCTCGACCAGGTTCGCGAGTTTTTCAACAGCATGCCAGAACGCACCGTTGTCTCCTGGAACTTCTTTCTGCTAGCGAACTCTCGGGCTGGGCAGATCTCGAAGACGAAGAGTGCCTTCGACGTAATGCCGATGAGGAACACGATCTCGTGGATCACTTTGCTACATGCCTATGCCGAGGGAGGACTTCTGGAAGAAGCCAGCAGCCTCTACGAGAACTTTCCCGAGCACAACTCCGTCTCGAGGACAGTGATGCTGGTGTTCTACGCTCAGTATGGCCAGCTCGAGGAGGCAAGAACCGTCTTCTCCTGCATTGAAGAGCCGGACTTAGTGTCCCAGAACGCAATGGTGGCGGCTTATGCTCACAACGGGAGGATGGAAGAAGCAAAGGAGCTCTTTGACAGTATGCTCGAGAGGGATGTGGCAACTTGGAACTCGCTCATCGGCGGATATGCCCACAGCGGGCATACGAGCCCGAGCTCGAGCGAGGGGCACACGGTCGACACCAGCGAAGAGCATGAGCTATGCCGAAACGCTCTGGAGAGCTTCCATGCAATGCTCGTCGAAGGCCTCCGACCAAACTCTATATCCTTCATGAGCATTCTCGTGGCGTCCAGCCACTTGGGACTCCTCGACACGGGCGTCCAATACTTCCAGTCCATGAGTAGCGACCACGGCTTGCAACCGAGCAGCGATCACTACCAGTCTGTGGTGAGCCTCCTGGGACGGACGGGAGAGCTCGACGCCGCCGAAGAACTCATCGACTTCCAGGCTGCCGGGTGCTCGGGCTTTCTAGAAGTGGCTCTCGGAAGCCTCCTCGGCGCGTGCAAGACTTACAGAGACGTGGAACGGGGCGCTCGGGTAGCACACAGGCTGTTTGAGCTGGAGCCGCGCAACGCTTCTCCTTACGTACTCCTGGCCAGCTTGTACGCTTCTCTCGGCATGGAGAGCGACGTCCAGGCAGTGAGGAGGCTCATGAAGGACAGGAACGTTGTGAAGCAGCCAGGGATTAGCTTGATAGAGATCGACAGAAAGCTCCACAAGTTCACGGTCGGGGACACGAGCCACGTACGAAACCAGGAAATTCGTCGCGAGCTTGGAAGGCTCCATGAGTTGGTGGTGAAACAAGGATACGTCCCGGACACCAGGGAGGTGCTTCATGATGTTTGCGAGGAGCAAAAGCGGAGGCTCCTGCTCAACCACAGTGAGAAGTTGGCGATTGCATTTGGAGTGATCTCCACTGCTCCCGGGACGACGATAAGGATTCTAAAGAACCTGCGGGTGTGCTCCGACTGCCATGCAGCAGCCAAGCTCATGTCTAAGGTGACGAGAAGGAAGATTGTCATCCGGGATTGCCATCGTTTTCACCACTTTGAAGAGGGGAAGTGTTCCTGCTTAGATTTTTGGTGATCTTTTTAAGTAACATAATACAATTAAATATAGTTTAAAAATTATTTACTTTCACCCTTATGGTTAGTTCCAGTTAATGAGGAGGGTTATTATAAGACAAGGTTAAACCCTAAACCATTTGTGCTAAATTTAAATAGATTAAATGCCTTGGGACTCTAGAGAGCACTTGTGAAGAGGGTTGGGGAAAAGGAGGGTGGCCAGTTGTTTGATATTATATTGGAGCACAATAGATTTATATGGAACTAAGTGTATGACCAGAAGAAAAGAGATATACTTATATTTCTGGATTTTACTAATTTGCTTTTGTATTTTCTAACAGAGCTGGATTCCTTGCTAATACTATTTAAAAGAGCAAAGGCAATATATTCAATCCTGATTTTATTTACCTCATGGCAAAAACTAGTTAAAGTAGTTTATCATGAATTTTCTATTACAAAACTACTCAAAATGTTTAACCTAAAGTATCTTAATACCTTTAATTGATTAAAAGGTGTTGCACTCTTATTCATAAGCTCTTTCTCTTTTTACTATCCTTAAGCTAACTGAATAAAGGTCAATTACTTGATGAAAAAACCCTTATTAATTATTTTATCCCTTTAAGGTTCCAAAGATCCATAATGATAATATATCTAAATCTCATCTTATAATCACATGCACTACATCATTTTTTGTATTGTTCTTTTTAATTACTTACACGCAGATAAGGATTTGCAATCTGGTTATAAAAGATTTGGCTAGGAGCGTGAGATAGTAACAAAAAGGGTTAAGTTGAGCCTCACCTCTTTCTTGAAGCATTTAAAAGTGTTTAACAATATTTAATAATGTTCTTGTAGAATTAAGATGAAGAGTGTTTTCTAAAACTGCCTGGCAATTGCATTGCTCATGGGGTTGTAAGTGATGGATCTCTCAACAAACAATTTCACTAGAAATATCTCATAACTTGCTAATGGCAATATAATAGCCCTAAGCTTGTGTGTGAGCATTCTATGGCTTGTTAGTGAACACAATGGGAATAATGATCTTAAATATGAAAGTATTCTTGAGGAGTCAAATCTTTTCTTCTAGAAAGATTGAAAGAGTTTGAGGGCAAATCCTAGAGTAGGAGAGTGCCTTATGGCTTATTTACGGCATTGCAATTGCCTTAAACAAATTTGATTAACAAAGAAGTGTTTTTTATCTCTTTTTTGAGTTGGGTAAATTGTGCTTTTACACATGGTTTTCAACCTTTACCCTATGGTAATTTACCATAAGATAATTACAGAGTTAAACCTTTGGACACATGGACCAAGGGTAGTGGAGCAGAACTTGAATTCAAAGCTTTAGGCCATTAAATGAAAAGATGGAGCCAAAATCATAGAAACATGAGTATAGACATTAGAACACTCCTAAAGCATTTAGTATCATATTGTAAAACCAACACGCAAAATAAAGTGAAAAGAAGTTTGGCACTATTTCAACATACTAGTGCTACAATGCAAGGATATAAATATTCCACCAATTAATATGGTATAGAAGTTGGGCTTAAACCCAAACTAGCCTCCTCCTCCTGTATTGAGGTACAAGATTTTAAATAAAACCTAAAAGACCCTAAAAATTATATATTATATGATGGCTTAAAGAGAAGTAACCATTTTAAGCTTAAGTTCTCCCTATATGACAGCAAAGGAGGATGTAGGAAATGAAAATTATTTGACAGACTAGCACACCTATCACTTTTATAACCTCTTTCCTTGGCTATTGTCTAATATTTCTTTAAACTATACAAGTTCTAGTGTGGAAATTGATACCCGACTGACAAGTTTTTGTTAACAAGGAGATTTAAAGAACTTTCCTACTATATTTTTAAAGTTTGATTATAATTTATTTTACATTTGGGAGAGTTTTGAAGATATACCAAGCTGGAAGTAAAGTTTAGTCTTGGATTTAGTGATCTAGAGTATAATATTATGGCTTTAGTGTTAAAAATATTAGTTCCCATTATTATTTTTTACAAAGAAGGTTTGACACTCCAACCTTGTAGTTAACAGCCACCATAACTTTATAATAATTATTTTTATTAATTTGAAAGATTATAATTTATTA